AAAAATTGGATTGCAAAATTTTATTAAAAAAAAAGAATAGAAATTCGTAATCAAATTAAGATTATTGTGTATATCAAATTCAAATTAGTAACATTATTATTACTGATCAATAATAATTTATAAAACAATAAAAAAAGGAGGCTAAGGAGATTTCATTTTATGGTAAAAAATTCATTCAGCTCAGTTATTTCGCAAGAAGAAAAAAAAGAAAATGGAGGATCCGTTGAATTTCAAGTAGTCAGTTTCACCAATAAGATACGAAGACTTACTTCCCATTTGGAATTGCACAAAAAAGACTATTTATCTCAAAGAGGTCTACGTAAAATTCTCGGAAAACGCCAACGATTACTTTCTTATTTATCAAAAATAAATAAAATGCGTTATAAATAATTAATTAATCAATTGGAGATTCGGGAGTAAAAAACTCAGTAATTTTAAAAGTAATTTTTAATTATTTGATTTATTAGATGCTTGAATTTTTATGAACTAATTTGCATTTTTAGCAATTCATGAAAAGCTGAATCGAGGATAAACTTATGAATGGACCAGCTACAAGAAAAGACTTCATGATAGTCATCAATGCACGGTGTTCTTCGACTCATCCTTACTTTGGATGGTGAAGATATATATATAGATACACATATAATTTAAAGTTTTTTTTAGCTAAGATGATTCAAATATTCAATGGGATCCATAAAATTTTCTATAAATATATATAATTTTTATAATAACTACCATAACATTTAAAATTATTCTAAAAAATTAATAATATTTCAACTAATTAAATTAAAATTCATATTATAGCGTAAATAAAAAAAGAATCGAGGAGAAAAGAGGGTACCTTCCAAGTGTTCCTTAGTGTGTTATCAAACAAATAAACAAAGCAAAGACTTTTAAAACCACTATTACGAATATTCCATTTGGATTAGGTTACTATTTAAATTGCCATTCTCCTTTTTCCCTTTTTATTTAAATATATTCTTATTATTATTTTTTAATAATCAAAACTATTTCATTCATTCAAGTCAAACTCTTCCGGGAATTATATAATAATGTCGGTCTGTGGTAGTAAGTGATATGCATGTTGTAGGGTTCATTAAAATTAATATACTAGTTGTGTGAGATTCACATCGGTTGGAGCAGAGAACAAATCAGCCGACGCATTTTAAAAATTTTAAGAAAAGTCTGAAAGGAAAAGCTCATACTAACGATCTAATCATTTAGTTCATAAAGTTAACATGACCCGCTCAAACAATATCAAACACAATCATATGATAGAGCAATCGATCCAATCCTAAGTTCCAACAATCAATATGTCCAAGTAAAACTAAAAGGAAACAAAAAGTTCATCCATAATGTTGCATCTCAAAAATAGTATAGTAAGGTGCAAGAGCAGATCCATGATTAGTGTTATGATCCAGTAGCTGAGCTTCATCTAACATGTTACCGTTTGTCGTCGTGGTTGATTCGAGAACTCTAGCGATCCCTTGATTCGAACATTTCCAGTCGAATGGCTGCTCGGCCCTACCGACCATTTTCGAAAGCTGATGCAGCTGTGTAGGCATTGATGGTGGTCTGTTACTGTCTCCAGATGGGGATTTTATATCGGGGAGATTAACGGTTGTTATGTCGTGGATACTCGATCTTCTCTTATCCTTCCCTCCCGTCAGCTGTCTAATGAAGTACTTTTGAGCATGACTAGCCACTTGCGTCGGTGTTCTTGTCGAAACGAAATTACGAGAAATGTTTCTCCAATCTCCTTTACCATATTTTTTAAGACCCATCAGAAATTGCCTGTAGTTTTAAACCAACAAGTACCCCCAAATCAAATTAAAAAACACACAATCTAGAACAGACAAGAACACATACAGCAATTTGAATCCAAAACACTAATAGAGCAAAGAACAGAGCTAAGAACTACCTGTGTTCTTCTTCAGTCCATGGAATTCCCTTCTTCCTTTCATGTTCCGGTGTAGTAGAGGTCCCCGTCTTGAATCCAGCGCCATAAAAATGGCTCAAACCATCAAATCCATGGCTGCTATCGACCCTTTCCAATGTGAAGGAATGGCGATTGTCATAGCCACGAATAGGGATCAGGCCAGCCTCAATGTCACAGACATCTTCTTCAAGTTCTTGGTAATGCTTAACCACATCGCCGATGGTTTTTCCGGGGATCATGGCGGCGACTTTGAGCCACCGATCAGAAGTGTCCTCATCGTACAAGGCCAAAGCATTCTCGAATCGTTTGTTTTCTTCAGGGGTCCATTGGGTTTCTTTTGTTTCTTGAAATAACCAATTGGAATTTCGAAGATACGAAGCCGGTGAGAGAAATTCCATGGCGGAAAATCTCTCTCAGACAGGAAATGCAGAGAGATTTTCAGGTCATGAAAGGATTAAAACAAAACCCTAGAGGCTCTAGGAAGATTCGTCAAGAACAAAACAAAACAAAACCCTAGAGGCTCAAATTCAGATCCGTAAATCTGGCATCGCCATGGCCGAGCTTGGATTGAATGCGAAGAACAGAGGGGGTTTGTTCTTGTTTTCCTTCAGAAAAGCTTGATTAGAAGACGACCCATTTGGGGAAAACGAAGAAAAATGCGAAATCAAAGGCAAAGAAGAAGACCCAAATGGAAAAATGGAAGACCCAGAAGGTGAAATGAGAGGAATAATGGAAAATGTTTGAAATAGGTGTATCAGAGAGGCGTAGGGATGTAGTAGTGGAGGTAGTGATAATGAAAGGAGCAGGAAGTTGCAGAGAATTAAAGAGAAAGAAAATGAAAGGTCAAGAGTGTTGAGGTGTAATTGGTGGGTGTGGTGATTGTGGAGCTCATTCTTCACAAACAAGTTTAGAGAGATGCCAATCCCCAAACCATTAGGAAAATCCTAATATAAGCTAGCTCTCTTGGGAGGGTGAATAAATCAGTGTCTTAGGTGACTTTTTTTAAATGATATTTTTAAGGTAGTATTGGACAACTTGAGTGTACTCGTTTTGTGCCCCAGCCCGTGTCAGAGGTTGAATTATGCACTTGTTATCCTGTAAATGATATGACATGGGCACAAGAGAGTCAATGTCTCGATAGAACCTAAATGGATGAATGTTCGAGATGTTTCGATGAGATAAGTGACATATGGGTCTGTTCTCGATGGCATGAATGAGTGAATTGTGATGGCCGACGACACCCTGAAACTTGAGATGACGATTAGGAACCAAGATGACAAGATGAGATGCGATGCTGCATTGAACAACCTTGCCTCCGAGTAGAAATAATGTCGAGTTGAATAAAAAATATACATATAGACATAAAATTATTTTAGTTTTGGGAAATCCCTCCTCACATGCTAGTAATTAGCTTAAGGAGTAGGGTGGTTTCATCTTACAATCTGTTGGCTCTGTACAAATTTTGATCCAAGATCATATATATGTATATATGTATATATATATATATATATGTAAAGCTTTTTATTGGGATTCCATTTTCACCAATATATAATAAAAAGTTGGCTATAATAATTATAAACACTATTGCCAATAGAGTAAAGAAACAAAAAAGATAGACGAGAATCTAAGTTTTTTTTTTTTTTTTTTGTCAATTTATTTTTTAAAAATGATTAAATCACATTTTTGAACCCGACCTTATTATCGACTCGAAATCATCATTTACACGCTTACAATTCACAAAAAGACGATAACTGAAGTAAAATGGGTTTGATAAGTTAAACACATGGGGATTAGGAAACGTAGTTCCAAACATCAAAGGACATTAAGGATTAAGGAGATGTTATTGGTGGTTTAAGGAAAAAGCAAGATTTTCATGGTACTTATACACATAGTACCATCCTTATCTTCCAAGATTTGGACAAACAAGTTCGAACCTAAATCTTTATACCCATCTAAGCCTTTAAAGAGGTCTTGAAGTTCCGAGCTTCACCTCTTGGAGTTTGTGTAGGTAGCTTAACCTTTTTATATTTAGATTTAGGTAGCTTGTTTTATCTTGGCATTAATGATCGGTATCTTAGGTTGAGGCCCGACTTCATCGTATTTTATAAGACTATTTAACATCTCTTTTTGAACGTCATTGTATAATGTTAGCACGCGACCCTCTACATGAACTGTCATAGAGTCAAAAGTCTGGGAAATGACCCCGTGTGTTGGTCAACTACTAGTCTAACTAGTGTAACAACGAGGAAAGATATATGCCTGTATCTTTAGAGTTAGAGTAGATATAAGAGATTTTCTTTATCCTCAATTATTGGACTATAAGGTAGTTTATCTTTAGAGTCATTTGTTTTAACTAATATCAACAAGATGATGGATTTTGAAGAGCAAATTCAGACTAATACAAAAAATAATTAGTAACTCTGACCTAAGCCAACCATGACTATATTGTTGGCTTGTTTGAATGAATTATATTATACATGATGATGTGTGTCACGTGGCCTCTACACATGTCATAATTATGATTGTTATGCTATGTTATGTCAAGCTATGGTAAGTTGTATTATGTTATGTTATGTCATGCTATACTATGTTGTAATATGTTGTGCCATGTCGTCATGTTACACTGCTGTGTTATGTCATGTGAGGCAATATGTTATGATGATGATAATAACCTTGTCATGTAAGCTATGCTACATACGGAATTTCTGGATGCATCATTCACAGACTCATTATGGTATTGATGGACAAAGAATTACAACCTTTTAATTGACACGGTTGCTTATAGTATGCTATAATCTTTTATTTATTAGGATTATTTTAAATTTTACGGTTAAAAAGGTTAGTTTGGAATTACTATAGATTTAAAAATAATTATTGTAGTGGGTCATGGCGGCCCATTAATCTATGGGCCCATTAATTATAGATTAATGGGCCGCCATGAAGCACTCGGTCCAATAAGCCCACTCCCTAACGCCTAAATTCCAAATTTAATGAGTGAAAATATATGAAGATTTCAATTTCTACTTTTTTATTAAAAATAATCCAAACATTCTTATTTAAAATAATAATAATTATTTTATCTATTAAATTATGTTTGTATAGGGTATATTGATATTTTAACCAATTATATTTTGATAATGATGATATAATTTTTATTAAAGAAGCGTCAATTAATTGTAAATATAATTTAGATATTAAATTATTGAAAATTATATATATATATATATATATATATATATATATTTTTATTATTTTTCTTCAATAAATTATTATTTTTAAAAAATATGGGAATTCTTAATCAAATTCTCGCAAAGTTTATGAAAACATATGTAAAAGATAAATAATAGAATAAAAAAAAATATTAATAATTTATTTTCGCTGTTCTTCATTCAAGTCAAACTCGTGGAAAAAAAATAGAAAAAGAAAAGAAAAGAAAAAAAGAATTTGTTTCCTTTTTTTTTTTTTTTTTTTTTTT